ATCATTTTCGTGGTAGTATATATTAGTAATTTAAAGACGTCAAATTTTGTTGCCGAACATTATCATTGATAAGCTCTTACCTACACCAGCAGCTTGTTGTATATTAAGCCTGGATGGTTGGTATTTAATAACTATCTAAACTTCCAAGGGTAAAAATGTGTCTCAAAGTCATGATAACGATGGACAAATTTCTACATTATTTTGTAAACTATTTATCAATTAATTAAACATGGCTTGTATTGATTTACATTATATATATATATATATATATATATATACTCGAATATTCTCGAACAAGCGAGTGAAGAATCATAAATAGAAATTGGATTCAATGCATAAGTTGACATCATTTCAGTAACAGAAAAAGCGTTATTTCAAAAACCAACTGCAAACATGATTCCAAGTAAGTTTATATTTTATGTAACACTATTTGAACGATCTAGACATACCTAACAATTGTTTGTCGAAAGTCATCCTTGGTGCAAGATTCCTAAAGCGTAAATTCTATTAAGAGTTATGAAACTAGGAAAGAAGTACATCGAGGAAATGGTAATGCCTTGATATCTGTGCAATAATAATTCGATATGAAACTGTAAGAAAACAAGTTCACCTCCGGCAATATAGATGTTGTAAAAACTAACGGTGTATTTGTATTGAAGTTCTTCATTCAAATTTATACCGAGTCTTCTGAACTAAAGTCGCTTATGCATTCAAAGACATTTTATACGTTCCAATGCTTTTTTAAGTAATTTTGAAAACAAAAGTTACTTTGAATTTTGCACGAGCGTGATTCTTGATTTTAGAAGCATTACAAGTATTTTATAATTCTCTAACATCAAATAATTAAAAAGTCAGCATTAGGACCAAGCGTTTTCTCCATCAATTGGACCTAGATCCAGATTATAACTATCCATTAAACCGTGAATTTTAAAATATCTAACGTTTTTTTATTAAAAACAAATCAGAATCGAATGTTTGATAAATAAACACGATTCGTTTGAAGTACGTATTTTTGATTAAATAGAAAAGCAGTATCAATATATCTGATCCGAGAACTAAATTTCCATTTACATACTGCTTTTCCATTTTTGAAAAAATTGTGAACGGCAAATGAAACATTCCCATTTAGACAATAGAAGTCTTTAATCGTACAAAATGTCTATACTATAATAGTGTCGTAGCTATTATTTTTTGTTTTAATTGTAAATAGTTCATAATTTGTAACAAGAACTCTTCCTTCATAAAGTTAAGGCTAGCAAATAGCCTCCCAGTGGAGTCACAGATAGGCACCAAATGAAGTTAACCTCTTTACCGTAAATTAGAACACACATGGGAGACGTAACAAGGAACAATTTATAGTTTACTTTTTTTCTATGGTTTTTATTATACACCAGTATATATATACAAAAAAATATGTTGTATTAAGTCAAATTTGCGTAGCTATTGGCTTTTGCAAACTAGGTGGCATTCATGCCGATGTTAACATAAACTTTGTTTGTTAAGCTTTTCAGCCCCTGTTCCAAGATTAATGTACTAGTATTATATCTAAAGCGCCAGGATACAAGATATCGTACAAGTTACTAATCCAAGACAAATAGCTGTAACTTAAATAACATTAGATCGATAGCTGTAATTTTACCCACATAAAATATATTTATTCGTTATTTTTTTATTCTACCGTCGGTAAATGTTGATGCTTCAAAACAAAATGTTGATGTTGACACTTGAAATAGGTAGATGAACAGAAAAAAAAATCCGATTCTCAGAAACGAATCCTGTAAAAGGCAAATATACTAATAACTCGAATGTTAATGCTCAAAGCTTTTAATTCTACGTTTTGGATCCCGTAATTTTAACTGAATCATTTTTTATTTACTTATCTCGAATCTTCTGTTTCGTTTTATAAAATGAATATTAAGACTGAATCTTATTAGAATATAACATTAGAATAGAACAAGTATTCTATAATTTGTATCAAAACCCGAATGGACACTTCTACATTGTTTCTTACCCGATTTGGCCCTTCATCAAAAAGTTCCTAATATACTGGTTTCGTAGAACGTAGAACTAACATAACAGCGCAATAATACCGAAGACTTAAAGCAGTTTACTAACCACAAATGATGAATTACATATTGAGTTTGTCTATTCTCGATCTTAACGGTACTGAAATAAGATAGATTCTTCTGTGTACCTATGAGGTTAACTAAAAGGTATTATATTAAATTTTATATCAACGGCATCTGTTGCAGTGACAATAAATTAAAATGAGTTGGCAGAAAATTACTTTATGGGACAGATTCTTAGGAAACCATACAATGGAAAGCAAACATTTGTCTCCGTTTTAAGATTATTTCTTGATATCAGAATAAAAAAAGTATGTAAGTAGTATTTATATTTTTAAAGATTTATTTGTGTATCTTAAGGATGCCTGGTTAATTTTGGGCTAGACACGAGAGGTTTGGTTGTTATTCTAGATAGAAATAGAAAAGTACAAGATGCGACTGCAATAGCGACAATCTTTAGTTCTGACTTTCCAGCATTTTCCACAGTGGGGTTTTTTGGGCGTTAGATTCAAGTCTGTCCAATACAAGTTACATGTCCTGACCTACCAGTAGAATGAGTATTATACTGAGTTAATTTTGTCATGGCATGGAACATTGTAAAATATTAGTTTTAAAAAGATTGCCATGGTTTATAAAGGATAAACGATTTTACTCATTTGTACTTAGGACCGCTGGAGGCACTGCGACTGACGCAAAAAAAACTTTTGTTTTAAAAACTAGATTACGCACTGATTGACATGAAGATTTTAATTTTACATTTGGTCGTCACCTAATTTTGATTTTGAAAAATAAAAAGAAAATATTTTTTATGTAAATTTTAACGTTTTTGTTCGTCAGGATACAAAAACCGGAGCTTTAGGTGGGCTAATGTATATTTTATTACAATAGATTTTTTACCAACAAGCGATAAAAAGTAAGTCTTTGTTCAAGATAAATAACACCCATACACATAAAAGTTTTGGCAACACTGTATTAAGTATTATGTATTTGAAAATTATGATATTTTTTTAACGGATTCTTAATATTTGGGTAACCCAAATTCTAAAAGCGAGTGCTATAAAATAAAGTTTTGTGTAAACTCCACAGTCGTTGCGTTGAGTGAAGTGCACTTCATTTCCCTTTTTTGGATGTCATAGAAACATTTTCTTTTAATAGCAATATTACCATAATTTAGTAAAAGCATAAATTACTCAAGAATTTAATAATTATGTTAAATTATTATGACCTAAACTACTTTAAACTTTTATAACATTAATTATACCCTGTTCACTGGCAAAGAAGAAAGAAAAAATAAATTTCAGTATTGTGTAGTAGTAGTAGCAGAACATTCGATAAACATTAGAATTCAAAGATTTTACAATTACATTCATACAAAAAAATATTCATTCTTCTCCTTTTTCTTCTCAGCCGAAAGATGTCTACTGCTGGACATAGGCCTCCCCAAAGTTTCGCCACAAAAATCAGTCCTACGCTGCCCGCATCCAACGGTTTCCTGCGACCTTTACCGGTTCCTCGAACCACCTTGCGGGCCTACCCACGCTCCGTCTTTCGCCACGCAATAAAAATAGCAATTGATTAGATAATATTACATCAAACGTGTAAAATATCCTTATACGTATATCCTTAAGGTTGACATTAACCACAGACTACCAGCGGATATTTTGTAAAGAATCCGAAAGGTAACAGCCTCAACACAATTCCTAAGCGAAATTCCAGCGTTGACATGAAATATTTTAATGGCAAGACCTTCAAATAGAGTAGTTTTATGCTCCAGAGCTTTTTATATTACAAGTACTTTAATATTTTAAAAGTTCACATCAAAACCATTAAACATGTTCGTAACGTGCTCGGATTAATTTGTCCAACTCGAGTCTTCCACTCGCACAACGTTAGTACGTTGTATGACTTAAATTGTGTATCTTTTAATGTGAGTGGTGCTGTGATTTTGGCTTCATTTTTTTAAAGGAATTCTAAATGCTTTTTTTAAAGGCAACTTTCGCATTGGGAATATATCTTGTGTCGCGAGGGACCTTACAAATATACATAAAACGGATACAAAGAACCCACATTCAGAACAACAATTAGTGGATCACACAAAGTGTCGTCCCATGTAGGGATCGGATCCACAACACTCAGCGAAGCAGTACGCCATCTGGGGAGTTTTATAGTATAATTTTCTTCTGTTCAATAGAAATTTAATGTTGCGGTAATTTCGTTGTGATCTATCACGTGTTCATCGTGATCATCCTTGTGTTTAATAGTTTTTATGGCATAACATAGTTAAATAAAAAAAATTGACAAGAGCCTAGATATTGCTTTATAATTACTAATTGTAAGTATCATAAGAAAAAATAAGTTTTTTGAATATAATAGGTATAAAAGTACGGCTGAAATCTACATTAACAGAACATTGAACTACTACACTCTGTTATTTGAAGCCTAATAAAATATGAGAAATAGCCTTAGCTTCCGTTTCTCTTTTTCTGTTTCTTTCGTACCCACCCATTTCCGATTTCTCTCTTTCTTTCATACTCGTTACCACAACTATGTGCTTGTAGCAGGAAGTTCATCATTTTATACCTCAACGAACTCGTTGTTTCCGTACCGTTCACAATACTAACTGAATGTGATGTATACCATATTCCAATAACAAATTTTAAAATAAGAGCTATAGCGTCTATTAGAAATACTCTAGATCATCTTATAAAAGAGTTTCAACTCCCTTTCCTTATCTCCCTCATCACGCAAGAACAAGCCAAACGCTGAGTTCCTTATTCTGAGGTCGTTTCTAGCTCTAGTAGAACAAATTTATGGCACTTTTGATGCTAGCTCCTGCTTGAGCGTTTGCTAGTCCAAATATATTTTTACACATCAAGGGACTCGGGTATACCCTATGAAGATAGTCCCCGAGAACCCTGGCAGATATTGACCGTCCTAAGCTGACACACCTAGCATGCCTTTGCTAGAGTTACGGGAAGCCTCACCGTTACCCCTACTTCGGAGCCTGGTGCCACTATTTCGGAACGGGAGAGTACTGGGCCTCTCTCGTGCCCTTTTTGTTGCCTCTTTAGTGGACATCACATCTTCACTTAAAGTCTTTGGAACATGGCCAGTACCATAGTCTCTAGCGAGAGGCTTTACGCCTATAACTGCCGCAAGGTCACAGTGTTGTTGCGTCCACGCTAAGTACTTCACAATCATCTCCTGTGTTTTAGAAAATCGATATTAATTATTAAGTGTATTTAATTATCTAGAGAGATAAGTTTTGTCTATTGTATTATAAGGATAACCTAAAAACAATGCCAACGTAACCTGAATGTCTCTTGTCAGTTACGTAAAGCTTTGAAAATTCAGCTGGATTTTAAATTGAATCACTAGGTTTGTTGAAATGACACTAATGGGAAGGCAGCAATCAAAAAAAAATCTAGTTATTAACTACTTTTTGTTCTGTTGTTTTGTTTTGTTAACTCATATAGGAAATTAACAGTCATAAATTAACCCGTATGCTATTGTATGAAGCATTTTAATTCGTAGTGCATTGTTAAACCACACTCCGCATTGCTGTATATTTATATATATGTATAATTATTCTTACGTTTTTCTTTAATGTCAATGAAAAAAGTGAAATATAGGTGCAGTAAATTATTTATACACTTACAGTGTATAAAACATTGATTTTAAAACAACAAACTGTTGAGAAGTTATGTTTTGCTCTTCGATCGATTTGATAAATTGTTACTTATGTTGTTTCAATAATACTTGTCTTGTGGTTCTTCCTAATACCAGCGATCGAAAAGGGCGAATTTAAATTTCTTAGAGTGTCCATTTTTTTTTTATTACCAGTGTAACTTAGTGTATGATTATATCGACTCTGTACCATGGCAGATGAAAATATATACTGTTTTTTTTTATTATATTTACACTATTCTTCTTCTTTCTGCATATAAACATTAATTTCGAATATTTCTCATGCCTGTTCAATGCCTCCATGTGCTATATTTGTTTAAAAGAAAACTTTAAGTGCCTTACAATAAGTTTTCTTCGAGTATTATTATGTAGATATTTAATATCAAACTTGTATACAGTAAATAATACTATTAATAGATTTTGAGAAAAGAATATTTAATTTACGCCTGTCATGTGCTATTAATTTTAACTTTTATTCAATCAATCATATCTATCGTCCGAAATTTTCACATCTGTTCTCTTTAATAAATTTAATTTCATTGAAAATGTGATTTTTAAAGAAATTTTAAAGTAGTCAGTGGTTGGAACGAGAATCTTCTCTTCAGATTAAATTCGTTATTGCACCCTCTTTCCCGAGGGCTATGAAGCCTGATTAATGCAGGAAGAAAGACAGCCGTAAATGTTTTTAATAGTTCAAGCGTATCTACCTGGAACCTGATTTAATATGGTTATAGTCTATAACACATATTGGCCTTAAATATTTCAATGGCTTTAATTTCTTTAATTATATTTGGTTACAAACATGTTTTTTTACTATTACCACATGAAAAAAGAATACCTAGGCCAATTTGGATCTACTATATATTGCTTAAGATATATTTTAAATTAAATGTCCTACACTGTGACATAATATTGGTGAAATAAATAAATATTATTATTGTTATATAATAATCAAGATCTTTTGTCAGTTAACTTTTATGGTCAACTTTTTCGTTCGATCCATTCATAAAGAAAAATATTTAAAAGTAATTTTAACCATTGCATTGCTTTGCTCAAACCTGTGCCCTATTTAGCAACAAATTTGTCTTCGTAACCATAATATGATGTTTTGGAAGGAATATATCTTAAGTACTTGAAGCTATTTATCCACCCAGCACATACTACCCACCGTTCCCACAGTTATTCTGGTTAAGAAATGAGTTAGAATTAATTTGGATCCTTATCTTCCAAAACTGGATATACATTTTTTTAATGGTCAAACATGAATCTTCATAATTTTTAGATGTCAGGATTGATTTTATGAAAAAAGCGATATATTCACAAACAATGTGGTATTGCGATGAAAGATAACAACTTGGCTGAGATGCGTTCAAATTGTTTACATAAAATAAAAAGGCAAAATTATAAATTTGTAAATATTGTAAGCCTTATATGTAATCATGTTACCCAATAAGACGTATGACAGAAGGGTTAAGTCTCTGAAACCTCAGCTTCAAACATAAGTTCGAAAGCAAAAACATCGTATTTATTTTGACAGCAAAGCCAACGCATCTTTGGATAGATTCCGTTGAAATTGCAAATAGATTGGAAGACCCACCCAGATTGGAGTTCGTCCGGAATAACAGAGGTGTATATCAAATGGTGCGTAAAATTGGACCCAAAATATTATCAAAGAGCTGGGGTTCATATGAATTTATTTATAGGAATGTCTGATCTCTCTATTTCGAATATTGGATAGAACTAAATGATTTCATTATATTCCATCTTCGTATTACACTACGAGTATGTGTTGCAATTTCAGAAATATGAATGGCTTCTTCATCTTATTTTTCTATCTCTCTGATTCTGGCATCCTCGAAAATACTGTAGAGGTGTAATATTCCTCAGTTAAAAATACTGCACTGTGGACGTTGTCGGATTTGTTCCATAGTTCATTGTAGTATTCGTAGCATCTTTCTAAACTAGTATATATGTTACCTTAGCTTCAGAATCGCTCGCCAATTCATTCTATGAATAACTTTATATATGAAATACTGTACTTTTGAACTGTAAAGATTTCTAACAGAAATTGCATGTAACATAATATGCATCTGAAACTGAATGTAATTTGGTATTCGCTAGTACAGAACACTAGTTTTTTTGGAGAAATGTTCCGCACCAGAGTGAGCGATGTTGGCACGATTTGCGAAAAAAGTTTCTTTGATACCATTTTTTCTTGCCTTGGAATATTGAGTTGAATTTGAAGATTGCTGTCATAGTTATGCATAATACATACACTACCATCTCCGTTAAGAGGACTGTTTGCTTGATTTATTGCCTTACACTCTATCCTTTTTAATTCATGTTTCGGCTTCAGACCGAAATCTACGTCATTAAAGTTAATGCTGAAAGTTAGTTATGAGTTATTTATGTGTTTATTGCGTCGTCTGTGCGAATTTGTTGAAAGTTTTGAAATACTACATTTCATTACTTGTTTCGCTTATTGTCTTAAAATGGTACTTCAACATAAATGTTTACTATATAGGTATATGTTAAAAGTGATTATCTTGTAGAAAATCAAAACAAAAGAACAAAAGTTCATATATCAGAACAAAAGTTTAGAAGTTTTTTGTTTATCTTATAGGAGGCCAAATCAGGCCATAAACGACACTGCTACTAAATGTTAAACAATTACCACACCTTTTAAATCCTTCCTCCAAGAATCAGCAGAAGAAAGGGCAATAGTGACTCTTGAGTAGCAGTTGTTTTTGGACGTAAACAACTGCTACTGAAGTATCACAATTGTCTCATCTTTTGTGTCCTTCCTCCAAGAGACAGGGGAAGGCCTAGGGCACCTTTAACCCTACTCATTCACTAAAAATTGGAAGCGAAAGAATTACTATTCCCTATTTTCTATGGTATTACTTGGGTCGAGCCGGCCCATTTCTGCCGAAGCAAAGCTCTCTCACGGTAAGAGCTTAGTGAGGCTATTTGTTTATTACGTTTTTCAAGATTTAATTACTTAACAGATAATCATAGAATTCTATATAAACATTGTTAGCGATATCCGAAAAGAAAAATTGTTCTCGAAGGATAGAAACATCAAAATTGAGCATATTTATGTTTTTAGAGCAAGTTTTCAAAGCAAAGCTATGAGCAAACACTAGTTTGCAATAAAGAAGAGATGACAATAATCAGAGTTTGGTAACAAGGATATAGTTGAAGAACATGTACCATTTTCATTAAAAAAAGAAAATCCCTGTGATACGCCGCTCAGGAATGAAAGACATTTACGGCTCGCAATAAAAGGAGTCGTTCTCTTTTTAAAAGGCAATAATATTATATTGAGTGATATTAAGTGAATTCATTTTCATATTTCTCGCGTATACCAGCCATAAATGCTGTTTATTATTAAGTGTAAGCACGTATGCTTAGTTATGTAGAATCATTGTGTACAATAGGGCTTATTATTATATGTAACCTTCTTTTTTCGTAAATACAATTTGTCTAATACTACAGTTACTCGCTGTCAGACATTCGAAGTGTTTGAAATTTTACCAGATAGTAAAGGTGACGATAAAATATTATTAAAAAAGATACCGCAGACAATGGCAAAGCTCACACTGCCCCATGATGAAGACCCACCTGAACAGACTCGTGCATAACGCGAAAGCCGAGTTGAGCACTCGCACCACCGAGACCTAGGGCAAGATAAATCGAGGACATCAATGACGAGTGGCCCTCCGTTCACTGCCTCTACCGCGACCAACACCTCAGCTACGGTGCGTCTACTACTAAACGCAGACAGGGCTTAATTAAATATTGATCAGCAGACCGCGCCGAGGTATTTGCCGACCACCTCGGACGCCAGTTCAGACCGAACCCAACCGCGAACAAGGAGCACTTTGCAGCAGTCGAGCCACACCTTCGCGAGTACTTCGATTTCCTGAAGAGGACCCAATTTCCTTTTCCCTGGCTGCGGCGGAGAATGCCGTACTCCGGAACGTACCAAGAAAGACCCCGGTCGTAGACGGCATCACCAACGCAGCATTGCGCCACCTGCCGCACAAAATTGTAGCCACAATGGCGTGTCTGTTCAGTGGCATAATGCGAACGGGTCACTTCTCCGAGATCTGAAAGGAGGGACGTATAATCTTGTCCCAAAGCTGGGGAAGAACGTACTGAAATCGGAGCGTTTTCGGCCGAGCACTCTGCTGCCCACCCCCTCGAAGGTGTTTCAACAACTCCTGTTGCGTGACCTCATCCCGCACATCACCTCCAGACCGGAGCAGTTTGGGATCTGGTCTGTACACAGCACCACATTGCAGATATCAATAGTACTGCACAGGATCATGGTGGCGTGAAACAAGAACGAAGACCGTTGCAGTACTCGCAGTGCCGAGAAGGCGTTTGACCGCATGTCACTTCAACGAGTAGTAGAAGTGGCCTCCATCTTCCTGAATCGGAGGGAAGGAGGAGTGAACGGGAGCTATCCTCCCCCCACGCCGTGGAAGCCGGTCGATAAGCAGACGACA